GGCAGCAGTTACTGCTGCCCATGTCACCCATGCTCTGAGGATGCTCTGGGGCAGTTGAAGACCCAGGGAAGCAAAAGCACAGGAGACAGAAATCCAGAACCCTGGAAATGGACAGCAATCCAGAGGCAGGAGGCGCGGCGCTCCCCACTGTTGTGGTAATTCAGGGTTACTCTCCCTACCCACCCTCCAACTGGAGGACCTGGGGACCCCAGGTAGCTCATATTAAATCCCAAGTGTCATGTGCTCATGATGTGGCTCTTGCCACTCGTTCCTGTTCTGGAACCAACCAAGGTCCCCTCTGCCTGAAAGAAAAATCCAAACGCGTCCCATGCTTCCTCTCCAACCTCAGAGCAGACCAGCCCCACAGAGCAGAGCAGGACACAGGCACTCCCTTGAAGCCCCGGAGCGACCCGGCTGCACACCTGTCCCGATGGTCACACCCCCTAGCCCAGTGCACACAGCCTGCTCGAGCTCCGCACCTCCGTGTAGTCACTGTAGATGTAGTAGAGCACGTGGGTGAAGATGTCAGGCGAGATGCCATGGAGAGTGATGGCCAGGAGGCCGCCTGAGGCCTCCAGCTCCTCGTTCTCTCGGAAGTGGTCGTCCAGCAGGGCCCGGAAGTAGTCGCTGCGGCCGCAGAAGAAGGCCTGGGGGAGGCTGGGCTAAGGAAGGGTGGGGGCCAGTGCCTGTCCCCAGAGCTGGCCAGGGACATAAGGCAAGGGGGCGGGGATGGGGGGGGGAAGGGACGGCACCTTGTGGCAGAGAAAGCTGCAACCTTCCACCCGGAAGCAGACATCAGGACAGCTGTTGAAGCCGTCGGGGCAAGGGAAGGGCAGCTCCCCAAGATCACCCTGGGAGATGAAGGAAGAGACACCATTGGAGCAGGTGGGACACAGGAGAGCAGCCAGTCCCAGCCACAGGTCTAGTCTAGCTCGATCTGGAGGGATGGCCTGCAGCCCCATTTGCAAATTGAAGTGTGACAACGACCCAAGTAAAGTGGGCTCAGAGAAAGGGACTGGCTCCAGCCCAAGCGGGGCTTGTCTACCATAGCCACGTCCACGTGGGGCCCCACCCTCCTTGTGCTTACACGGAGCTCCGGGGGCAGGGCGCAGTCGGCCAGCAGGGCCATGTCCTCCCGAAGCCGGGGATCTGCCGGCAGGGGCTCGATGGTCAGCACCTTCACACACGTGCCTGGCTTGGAAGCCACTGTGGAGGGGACAATACAGCTGCAGGGCCCAGGGGCCGCTGGTTCCTGCCCAACACCCTGACCCCAAGCCTGGACTCACCGAACTCAGACACCTTCTCACACTTGGTCTCCAGGTCGCTGAGCAGGTCCCACAGTTGGCACTGCTTGGCCAGGCGCTCACAGTCACTAACATGCTCCACGCCGACGTCCAGGCGGCCTAGGGGAGACACGGGAAGCTCAGGGCCCGAGAGGAGCTCTCTGTGGTCCCCAGCACCAAGACTCCTAGATCTCCTTCCTGCCTTGGTTTGCCCCCTCAAGAGCCACTGCCTGACTTCCACAGGCCCCAGGACAGATGGAAGGGGGCTTGGTGTGTAGGTGGGACAAGCTCTTCCTGAGTAGACCCTCCAGCTTGCTGTTTCCCAGCCCACCCAGGAGGCAGCTAGAACAGCCCCACGCTGCAGGGCACAAGTTCCAGGAGGTACAAGGGGGGCCCAAGGCCCCCGTTTCTGCTGGACAGAAACCCCCTCCCTGCCAGTGTCCCCCAGGCTCAGAGATTCACCTGTGTACAGGTACTGCAGCAGGGCCCCAAAGGCCACGGGGTTGATCTGCAGGCAGAGAGACCAGGAGGGAAGGTCAGAGGCGGCCACCCAGCATAAGCACCCTGCTGTCCCTCCACCTGCCCCTGGGAGGGACGCACCAGTGGATGCCTAAGGACCACGACATTCTTGCCCTTCCATTTGGTGTCCAGCATGTTGGCAAAGTAGGCACTGCGTGCACCCAGCACACAGCGATGTGCCCGGAAGGGCTTCCCGTGCACCACAAAGACCACGTCGCTATGGATGCCCTGCTCCAGGAGCCTGGGGAGGAGCAAGCGGAGCGGGTGTTCAGCAGGCCCTCCCCACAACCCTGCAGGAGGGTCCTCAGCCCTACCCCATGCACACCCAGTCCTGCACCCCATCTCACCGCTGCAGGAAGTCATCGTAGTAGTCACGCCTCCTGCAGGAGGCTGTCACCTGCTTGTAATCGCGCAGGGCCCGGCGGATGGGGTCGCTCAGTGCCCCGTAGAGGCAGCGCTCCCCATCAAAGGTGTTGGCTTCACAGCGGGCTCCTGGGGGCAGCAGGGCTCGCCAGTCAGCAGGCTCGGGAACATGTACACTGCGGCAGGGACAGGGTCTGGGGGGAAATCCTAATCTCTCCCCCTGCAACCTTCCCACGTGTAGGGCCCAGCCCTGGACTTCGGAGCCCCTGCCAAATTATCCTGGGCCCACTCTGACACCAGCATCTTCTCTGCCAGGGCCTGGGCACATGGGCACGTCTTGGTATCAGAGACTACAAACAGAGCAGGCTCAGAGACCACTCTGCTCTAGGCCCTGGACACAGCCATAAACACACATCCCTGTCCTGACTAAACTGATCCTCCAGTGTGGCGGTGGACAATGAACATGTTAACAAATGATGTCAGGTGCTATGAAGAAAAAGAAAGCAAGGCAAAGGGTAACAGTGGTTGTGGCTGCCACACAGGGAGGCCAAAGAAGGTCACTGTGTCAGTGACAACACACAGAGACCTGAATGGAATGAGGAAGTCAGCCATGCAAAGATCTGAGAAACAGCAATGTAAATAGGAAGAACAGTGAGTGCAAAGACCCTGCGGTAGAAGCAAACTTGGAATGCGAGAGCACCAGAGAGGCCGGTGTGGCTGGAAGCGTGAGCACATGGGGGAGCCAAGAGAGGTGAGGCCAGAGGGGAAAGAGCAGTTCACTTAGAAGCACAAAGACTGGCGCAAATGGCAAGTCTTGGAGAACTTTAAGCCTATCAGACTCGTGAGACCCATCAGGCTGCAATATGGAGCACAGACTGTCAGAGAGCTATAGTTGGGCTGGGTGGTGGCTGTGGAGATGGGGAAGTGGACATAAGAAAATAGGTTCCAAAAGTAGAACCCACAGTACTTGCTGACTGGGTATGTATAGCGGTGAGGGAAGGACAGGACTTGAGAGTGTCTGCAAATGCAACCCCACACACAGGCACGCATGCACGCACACACGCATACAGAGCCCCCGCTCCTTCTCTCACCATTGGCCAGAAGATAAAGTACTAGCTCCTCATGCCCACAGAGGCAGGCGTAGTACCTGAGGGGGGGAAAGGAGGAGTATGGGAGGCTGTTATGAGGCCTGAAGGCCCCACCCCCCACACACACCTGCCATGACCACCCACCCACCCGGCACTCACAAGGGGGTGCTGTCCCACTTGTCCCGCACATTCACCTCCACGTCCCGTTGCTCCAGCAGGTACCTAGGCAGGGAGGAGAGCAGTGTCTGAGTCAGGACAGGTTCACAGTCTGTGAGAGGAGACCCACAGAACACAGAGAGAGAAGACATTGATCTTGGCTGAGGGAGGTCTCTCCCCTATGTGAGGGCAGGTGGCAGGCAGGCCAGAGCAGGAAAGGCATTCACCAAAGGGACCAACACAGGTAGACACGGAGCTGAGGAGAGAACTCCTAAGGGAAACGGAGAACCTCAGAAGCAGGAGCCCAGAGCTGGCCTGAAGGCATCCGTGAGAGGGGAGGGGGTTTGGGGCTTCTCCCACGGCCCCCTGGCTGCTTGCCACACTGGATAGGGGAGACTGGACATAGGAGACCAAGGAGAAGGCTTCTGCAGGTGTCCTGCTGGTGTGGATGCATGAAGAACAGTGAGAAGATTCCAAAAGGCAGAAGTCAGGAGACACAGTAGCTGATGGGATGTGGAAGGTGAGGGGGATCATCACGGATGGTGAGGAAGCCATCACTGAGGGCAGGAAGCCTGGGTGAGATGTCCAAGTTGGACTGGGAGTGCTCTTCAGTTGCACTCAGCTTTGGGGGTTATCAGCTAAGTCCTTGGTGACATCTGATGCTGGGGAGGGGCCAGGGATGCTGTGGGAGTTGGGAAGCCTGGGACCAGCCCAAGGGAGCAAGTGGTGGGTCAGAGCCAGGGAGCAGGGAGGGAAGGGCCCACGAAGTGAGGTGCCCCACACCCAAATAGGCACTCCCTCACCTCACTCCCTGTTTTACGGCGATTTCAGCGCCAGATTGCCTTAAGGCAGTTAACTGCATTTAGGAGTTTCCGAATCCCCGGGGATCAGAGGTTGATTCCGGGTCCTACGTGTTCCCAGCGTGCCGGGCCCTGAGCGCATCCGTGGAACCTTGGCCCCCCCGGGGCCTGACCTCCGGTTCTATAAGCTCAGAGGGCGACCCTCGCCTCCGCTCACCTCTCCGGGGCTCCGGGGCAGCGCTCTCCTTCAGAAGCCCGCCCGGACCCCAGGAGCAACACCCCGCCGGCGCTGCGTCCCGGCGCACCCCGGGTCGGAAGGCCCCGCTCGGGCGCCCCGGCGCTCCTGGTCGGGCTCCAGGGGCGCGCGCCCGTCCGAGCCGGTCCGCCGCACGCGCGGGGCCAGCGGCGCCGGAGGGCGCCCCTCCCACCCCGCACCCCCGGGCCGCGGGGTCCTCACCGCACTCGGCCCACATCCCCCTTCCTGCAGCTGGCGAAGAGGTCGCTGGTGTCCATGGTGCCGGCGGCTCGGACCCGGGCCGAACGACCTCAGGCGGCGGCGGCGGCGGCGGCGGAGGAGGAGGGGAGGAGGAGGAGGAGGAGGAGGCGGCGCGCCCCGGCCGGATGTAAACACACGCGGCCCCGCCCCGCTCCGCAGCGGCGCCTGGCGCCGGGAGGACCTACCCCGGCCGCCCGCCCTCCCGCCCGCGCCCCCCCGCCCCGCGCCCTGCGCCCCGCCCCCCGCGCCCCGCGCCCCGGAGCAAGAACGAGGCGGGCAGGCAGACGGGCTGGGCCCGGCGTGGTCTCCGGGCGGCTTTAATGGGGGTCCCGGGGCGCGGCCCCTGGGGCCGTCAGGTGGGAATGGGGAGGGCTGTGCCGAGACTGTTCCGCGAGCCGGTGGGAAGCGGGAGGCCCCGCGCCGAGGGCCGAGGCCGGGAGCGGGGGGCGCGGCAGTGCGCTCCGGGTCCGCCCGGGTCCGCCCGGCCCCTCCCGGCGCAAGCCCAGCGGGGCGAGGGCACCGGCCGCGGGGGACGGCGGCCCGGAGCTGCGGGCGAGCGGGCGACCTCACAGGTGCGTGTCCTCCTCGAACACATCCGAGTCCTCGGGGTCCCGCTTGCCGCCCATGAGCGCGCTCCAGCCTCCCGGACCGTTGACGGCCCCGCCGCCGTTCAGGCTGGGCTGCTTCTCCTGCATCTCCGACTGGCTGTCGCTGGCCACGTCCAGCGTGGGGTTGTCGTGGCAGCCGTTCTCTACGAAGCGCAGCTCCTCGCCGTGTGACTGCGGTGGGGAAGCGGGCGGCTGGCCGAGCACCGCGGCCGGGCCCCCACCCACCCGAACAGAGCCACGCACATGGCTCCTAACCTGGTCTGTGAAACCCTGCACAGGGACACCCCCGCCCCGGCCTCCAGCGGACCCTTGACAGATGCCAGCTCCCTTCTGTTCTGCTCTCACAACCAAACTCCTCATGGTCCTTTTCACTGAACAACCGGTGGCCCCCCTGACATCATCCGATCCTTCCAACAGCCTCTGCACTGTAGCTCTAGCACCTGTCAGGGCTGGTGCCCTGCAGACATGAGGGACAAATTGGGTGCCAGGCTCTGGATAAGCAGTTGTACTTGGACTACCTCATCCCAGGACAATTACTGCCACCTCACCTGCACGTGAAGACACAGAGTCTCAGATGACTGGACTTGCTGGGTACCCTCTCCTCCACGGGCACCACCTCCTACCCAAACCCTCTGGTGGGATGTGACCCTATGCTCACCACATGTTTGAGCTTGGGCAGCCGGCGCTGCCAGCAGTTATAAAGCAGGCCCAGCACGATGATGATGACACAGATGGCACCGATGACCACCAGCACCACAAAGAGCGTCCCGTAGTCGCTGCGCACTTGGCTGGCCCGTGCCTGGCAGCTGCTTGTAGTGGAGTAGTTCTGGATGCCAATCTGGGGGCGGGACAGGCCAGTTTCCTCAGCTGAGGTCCTGGGCTCAGGGACAGGAGGCTGGCATACTCCTGACTACACTGCCTCAGAGGCCTGGACCTGTGCTGGCCTGGGGCACTATCCCTGTTTCTATCTGTTCACCTGAGGGCAGCCCCAAGTCTCAATCCCATGTCTCCATTCCTGACCTCCTCTCCCATCCTGGCTATGGTTCTGCCCTGACCCCGTCTCTGCTGGGGCAGAAGTCTTGCTCCACTACTGAAACAAGCTTCCACCTTGGACATGGAAGTGTTCTGGCATCATTCTGACCAATTATGGGCTATAGATTGTGTAGATTGGGATGCTGGGGACAGTCCATATCCTTGGCCACCACCAGACTCTCAGCTAGGAAGCTAGGGAGGACCCTTTTCCCACTAAAAGCAGGTGGTCACCAGCAGCATTTGGCTGCCAGTACCCCTGCCACACTGCAAGCTGTCGTGGGTAGGCCACCTTCTCAGGCCTAGAGGCTGCTACGCCCACCTGAGGTGAGGCAGGCATTCTCTCCACAAATCAGCATCTAGAGCAGAAAGCAGGGAAGGGGAGGGGTCACCCTTGTCAGATGACAGGTGCTAGGGTGAGGGTCTCATCTACTAGCTCCCAGTACAGAGACCTGGGAGCCTCCCTTTCTGCCTTGGGCTCCCCTAAGGCCCAGTACGCATCTCTTCCAGGGGGTCTTTGAACATCCTATTTCCAGTATTTTAAAAAAGTCTACTGACTTTTTAAGTTATCAAAGATCTTTGCTTGGTTCACCCACCAATGAAATTGCTAAATTTGCCATACCAAGTCAGTCTGAATAGTGTCCAGTAAAGCTAGAACACCCAGGGGCAGGGAGAGGCAAGAAGTTTCTGTGGGGGAGCAAAAGATCAAGGCCAGCCCAAGTTTCTACCTGTCCACCCTGCCTCCCCCTGCCATGTTCACGACCCCAGAATTTTACAACTGGAAAGGCCCTTGGTAACCAGGTAGCAAGGACAGCATCGTGTTTAAAGGCCTGGGCTCTTCAATCAATCATTCAGGCATGGTCCAAAGCCTGGCTCTGTCGCTTCCTGGCTGTGTATTCTCAGACAAGTCACCCCCCTTCTCTGGGCTTCAGCTCTCATCTCAAATAGGGCACCAATGGTACGCTTTGGGGTACCTTGTTTAATCCTCACGAGGCCTGGGCTGACGCTGAGAGCTGGGTGAGAGAACCAGTCTGGCACTGGCATAGTCTGGCACTCTGTAAGCATTCAGTGTGCTTATCAAGAAACCCCAAACCGCCAGCCCAACCACCTTTCCGCCTTACGCATGATAGATAAGGAGGTGGGGTGCACAGTCATGCACAGCTCATGTCTCCCAGCTGTGAAATACTGCAGAGCCTTGGAGAAGGGGGAGGACTGATGCCAGGTGGTGGGTTTCACAGTGAGGAGCTGGCACGGTGGCTGTCCTGAAGAAAGATGGTGAGGAACCCGAGTCCTCCCTTTCAGATACAGTAGAACAAGGAGCAAGAGGACCGAGGAGGAGGACCAAGGGGGGCCTGCCCCTCCCACAGGCCCCGACTCTACTTAGCCCTCCACAGGGGTGGCCAGCCTGCTCCTCAGTGCATATCTCAGGGCCCAGCCATGCAGCTGGCCAACTGCCTTGGGTCAGGGCTGCCTCTCAGGATGGCATGACCGTCTCCTGAGCCTGAGCCCCGTCCCTTCAGACAGTGCCTAGCTGATGGCTTCTGAAGCACGCCCAAGCCTGTCATGCTTTCTCCTGTGGTTTCTCGAACTGCATCACGCTGTCCCACCCCACAGGTCTCTGATCAGTTCCTGGGCCAGACACGGGGTTGCTCCCACTACCAACCCACAAGACTCCCACTCACCAGTCCAGATCCTCCTCGGGGTCCCCTCCCCTCTGAGTCCTATCCTGATCACCACCCCCTCTGGGCCCTCTCACTCCAGCCATCTTGCAAACACTGCGGTTGTGTGTACATGTTCCTACACACTCTGTCTCTCCCATGGGAACTGTCTTAGGAGAATTGAAAGGAGGAGCTGCCCAGAACAAGAGTCTGTCTTCTGCTCCTGGCACTACCACACAGGCTATCTCCTACCCTCTGCTCCCAGAGCTCTAAGGAATGAGAGGGGAGCAGGTCCCTGCCCTCTTACCTCCACCAGATTCCTTCGGATGTCACCCAGCATGGAAAGGACATCTTGAGTGGGCATCACCCCTGGGGGGAGACATCATGGTCAGTGCACCCTTGGCCCTGGGGCGACCCCAGCTCCCTGGGACAGCCTCTGGCCTGAGCTTCTGGGAGCTTGCTTCCCCACTCCCAACCACAGGAAGGCCTCAAGGTGTGTGCGTTTCCACTCTCTCCTATGCTTGCTTTCTGCTGGCTAACTCGTTCAAAAGGACTGAGTGGATGCCCACCACGTGGCAGGTGGGACAGCAGGCAGTCACTCCCACTGCCCCATACTGCTGCATTTTGAACATGCCCCCTCTGCAGCCCACAACTCAGCATGCGGTGCCCATCGTCTCCCTCAGTGCTGAAACCACACCTCTTCTCCTCCTAATCCTGACGTTCACACCCTCCACCCCTTCTCCAGAACTCCAGTTCAACTGCAGTTGAGTCCTATACTAGAGGTCCTGCCACTACCTCATCCTGCTGTCCTAGAGGTCCAAGTTCAGAACCCCATCTGCATGCTTTCCTGTGGTTCTGCAGACCTCCCGTGGCCCTCAGGAAACAGTGCCGGCTTCATGCTGCCTCCCTGGGCTCTCCCTTCTGCATGCTGCCCCCGCTCACCCTGCTCGCCCACCAAGGTCATTAGAAGGTGCTGCTCCTTCTCACTGGGCTTGCTCAGGGAGATGTGCCAGTCCCCGTGGCGGCCACTGCCGTGGCGGGGCAGCACCTCCTCCACCAGGGCCAGAAGCTGCAGCCCTCGGTGCTGCCGGAACACCTCCTACAAGGACAAAAAGAGAGCCCCCATGCCTGGTAAGGGAGAGGGCTCTACTAACCCCCTGCCTCCAGGTTACCCCAACACCACCCACTCCAACCTCCAACCTCCCAGTGCCCAAACACTGGGAAAGGCCAGATGGCTCTTCTAGAGGGGGTGTTCTTGTAGCCCTGGGGACCATTGAGACACTGTGAGCTTGGCCGTTGGGCAGAACTGTGGAACAGCAAGGCACACACCTACTGGTTCCCCACAGGCATCCAGTTGCTCCTTACTGCCTGGGCTGCTCACATGTGGACAGCATGGTGTGTGCCCAGGGGTACTCACAGCTGAGCCTGGAGACAGAGATGCTCATATGCAACAAGTCTGGGAAGTGGGTGTCTCATGTGAATGGAAGTATGCTGGCCAGGCTGGAGTATTCAAGGGTGTAGTGCAAGGGATGAATAGACTAGGGTGTCAGGGGTACAATATGCACACTGCCATACAGCCACCAACCCAGGAGGGGAGGTGGGAAACAGTGACATGCTCATCTCTTGTCATTGCAGAGATACAGCCCAAAGTTGGGGAGTCAAGAAAGATGTCTGAGTACTTTTATGGTGGCAGTAGAGAGTAGAAGAATGAAAACAGATATGGTTAAAATGGTAATCCCTGGAAGCAGGGCCAGGAGCAGAAGGAAGGATATAAGCAGATTTTGTTCTCATCAGATACTCTCATACTCTTTAGATTTTCCTCACCTTGTGTATATATAATCATGTAATTTTTAAAAATGAAACAAGAGGCAGGTACCGGCCCGAACTCAGTGAGTGGCAGAAACCCAGGCAGGCCACCAATCTCGCCCCGTCAGGGAAAAGACCCTCACTGGCCCTGTTGCTGCTCCCCACCCCCAGTCTCTGCTTCAGCAGCCTTCTCCCTCTTGTCCCCAGGGAATCACTGACCTCTGCTCCTGGCCTCCAAAGCTTTGAGCAAGATACCTGCCCCAGCTATTTAGCACTCTTCTGAGTACACTGCCTTAGAGCTTTGAGCTTTGAGCCAGGGCTGCCTGTAAGGCCCAGGCACCTCATCAGACCATGTGGGCTTCTGACATTCCTAATTCCTTTCCGTTAGAGCCCAAGCTAGTGAGCCTTCCTGATCATCATGCCAATCTAAAGGCTACCACAAGGACCGAAGTTCCTTGTTACCTTGGCAAGTGCCAGGTGCAAGCTCAAGCCTTGGCACTCACTCGCCGAACAGAAAGCCTACTTGGTTCTGAATTTGGGAGAAAACTGGTACCTAGAAAGCTAGGAAAGCCCTTTTTCCAAAATAGTTCTTACTGTCTTCACGTGCATGTGTGTGCATGTGTATGCAGGGAAAGGGGACACACCTGCATCTGCCTGAGCAGCACGCACTGCACCCAGCAGCCTCCCTGCTTACAAAAGAAACACAATCCTACCCACAGGCAAATCCTCCCCCATGCCACGGGCCTGGGATCCCCTACATGTGCATACCCCACATTTCCTGGGTCAAGATGTCTGCCTGGCATAAGCCCACAGATGCACAATGTCCATTCTGGCAGTGCCTGATGACTATATATTTCATGCTATTTATTTTGCAGATGGGAACTGAGTGTCAGTGGCCTGGGGAGAAAACTCTGAATTTGGAATCAAATAAATCTGGGTTCAAATCCCGATTCTTCAGAAATTTCATCAAAGAATGAAATTGGCCAACAAGCACATGAGAAAATGCTCCGCATCACTGGCCATCTGGGAAATACAAATCAAAACCACAATGAGATACCACCTCACACCAGTGAGAATGGGGAAAATTAACAAGACAGGAAACAGCAAATGTTGAGAGGATGTGGAGAAAGTGGAACCCTTTTGCACTGTTGGTGGGAATGTGAACTGGTGCAGCCACTCTGGAAAACTGTGTGGAGGTTTCTCAGAGAGTTAAAAATAGACCTGCCCTACGACCCAGCAATTGCACTGTTGGGGATTTACTCCAAAGATGTAGATGCAATGAAACGCCGGGACACCTGCACCCCGATGTTTCTAGCAGCAATGTCCACAATAGCCGAACTGTGGAAGGAGCCTCGGTGTCCATCGAAAGATGAATGGATAAAGAAGATGTGGTCTATGTATACAATGGAATATTCCTCAGCCATTAGAAGCGACGAATACCCACCGTTTGCTTCAATATGGATGGAACTGGAGGGTATTATGCTGAGTGAAGTAAGTCAGAAGGAGAAGGACAAACATTATATGGTCTCATTCATTTGGAGAATATAAAAAATAGTGAAAGGGAATCAAGGGGAAAGGAGAGAAATGAGTGGGATATATCAGAGAGGGAGACAGAACATGAGAGACTCCTAACTCTGGGAAACGAACAAGGGGTGGTGGAAAGGGAGGTGGGCGGGGGGGGATGGGGTGACTGGGTGACGGGCACTGAGGGGGGCGCTTGACGGGATGAGCACTGGGTGTTATGCTATATGTTGGCAAATCGAACTCCAATTAAAAAAATATACAAAAAAAAATCCTGGTTCTTTTTTTAAGTTTTTTTTTGTTTGTTTTGTTTTAATTCATGAGAGACACACACACACAGAGAGGCAGAGACATACACAGAGGGAAAAGTAGACTCCCTGCAGGGAGCCTGATGCAGGACTGGATCTTAGGATCCCAGGATCATGCCCTGAGCCAAAGGCAGACGCTTAACCACTGAGCCACCCAGGTACTCCTCAAATCCTGGTTCTGCCACTCATCAGCTCTGTGACCTTTAACAAAACACTGCACCTCTCTGAGCTTCAGTTTCCTCATCTGAAAACATGGGCTTTGGTCCTAACACCATTTTAATGTGAGGATTAAAAGTACTTACTCAGTCACAGGTGCCAGGACAACTGGCTATCCCAGTGTAAAAGAAAAAAAAATGTACCTTGACTCATACTTCATATTACAATTAATTCTAGATGGATTCCAGATTATAGCTTTGAGAAGTAAGCACAAAATGCTACCTTCAGGGGTGCCTAGGTGACACACTTGGTTGAGCGTCCAACTCTTGGTTTCGGTGCAGACTGTGATCTCAGGGTCATGAGACTGAGCCCTGCATTGGGCTCCATGCTCACCACAGAGTCTGAGTTTCTCTTCCTTTCCCTCTGTCTCTCCCACCGCCCCCCCCCCATGCATGTGCTCTCCCTCTCTCTCTAAAATAGATAATTTTCTTAAAAAATAAGAAAGCTATCTTCATGAACTCAGAGTAGGCTAAGATTTCCTAAATGGACTTGAAAAAACTAACCAGGGGCACCTGGGTGGCTCAGTGGTTGACAGAGGCATGGAGGAACCAGACCTGACACATACTGCTGGAGGCAGTATAACTTGGTACAAACACTTCGGAAAGTTGTCAGACAGCATCCATTCAAGGTGAATATATGCAGAGACCATGTCCCTGCAATGCCACCCAGGAGAACTGTATTCATATGCTCACCAAAATATGTGTGCAAGCACATCCACAGCAGCATATGCCCTATAGCCTGAAGCTGGGAACTACCCAAAGGCCCAGCAGCATCAGAATGGATACAGTAATGGAATACTATACAGATGAACAAACTTCACTACATGAAGCCTTCTAGATAAATCTCAAAAACCGAATGTTTAGTGCAAACAGCCAGACACAAAATACTACCTAATGAATCTTCATAAAAAGTTCAAAAGCATGCAAAAATCAATGTATGTGGTTACGAATCAAGAAAATGGTTTCCCTGGAGGGAGCAGTGTCTAGAAGGGAGAATGAGAAGGGCTTCTGGTGGTGTTGATCATGTTCCATGTCTTCATGTGGGGGCTGATTACATGGCTGTGGTCCCTTTGGGATGATCCATCAAGCTACGCACTTATGATCTGTGTGCTTTTCTGCATGTATATTGTAAGTCATTAAAGCTCTTCTTTTTTTTTTTTTTTTAAACTTTTTTTTTTTTAAGATTATTTACTCATGAGAGACAGAGAGAGAGAGAGAGAGAGAGGCAGAGACACAGGCAGAGGGAGAAGCAGGCTCCATGCAGGGAGCCCAATGTGGGACTTGACCCGAACTCCAGGATCACGTCCTGGGCTGAAGGGAGGCGCTAAACCACTGAGCCACCCGGTCTGCCCCATTAGAGCTTTTCTTAAGTGCAATGCACTCATGAGTTTAAGTTATCTTCCCTGCTGGTCCTTCCCATACATCACACTGTTTCCCCCACAGTAGGGGGAAATCCAAGCACCCATTTCCAATGCCCTGAAGTTACATGCAACTTCTCCAAGTGTCTGGTGTGGTCCTTATGGCAAACAGGAAGGAACACCCTGCCTATCATTTTGACTTGTGCCAATACAGCAGACAGAGCTGATGAAAGTGCTGCTCTGCCACCTTGGTACAGAGAAATACTGGGAAAAAACATAGGAAGAAGCAGAGGGAACTCGAAGCCAGAAGAGTGAGCAGGTGCCAAAGCTGCAGCAATTCCTAAGGGCCCAGGGTCCAGAGATGGAACCTGGGAGCTGGAGACTTGGCTTTAAATGCTTATGTGTTCTTGGCCCACGTGAGATGAAGAACTAGAGCAGAGTACCAGAATGGAACTGAAGCCTCCAAAGAGCAGCCCTTTCAGTGAAACAGGGACTTGAAAACATTCCTGCTCACCTGAGGAGCTAAGGGGCTCTATCATGTGCCTGTGTCCATGGGGAGGAGAAAAAGCATAAAATTGCCAAGACACTTTGTAGGCAGAAAAATAAGGCCCAGAGAGAAATGGAAAGTTGGTAATATCTAACAAACTGTATATGCAATCCCACTTCTAGAAACTTACTCTGAAGATACATCGCAACAGCACAAAAATACATACAAACAAGGTTATTTGATGCAGCCTTGTAAGTAACCACAGAATATCACCCAAATGCCACACAAAGGAAATTTAATGAATAACCTACAATACATACACATAATGGGGTATTCTTCAGTTGTAAAAATAAAATGATTAAGAATAATCTTCATAAATTAACATAAAGTGATTTCCAGCAGATATTGTCAAGCAAGAAAAGCTAAATACAGAGGAATAATGTTATGGACTAAATGTGTCCCCCCCCCCCCCCCCGCCCAATAGTTTATGTTGAAGCCCTAACCCCCAGCACCTCAGAATGTTGACTATATTTGGAGATAGGTCTTTCACTAGGTGATTAATTTAAAATGAGGTTGTTAAGGTGGCCCCATCCAATACAATCTGATGGTGTCCTTATAAGAGGAGGAGATTAAGGACACAGACACACACAGAGGGACAACCATGTGAAGACACAGGGGTAAGATGGCCATCTGCAAACCAAGGAGACAGGCTTCGGGAGAAATCAATCCTGCTGACACCTTGATCTTGGACTTTCAGCCTTTAAAAAAGTGAGGGAATAAATTTATGTTTTTAAGCCATCCGGTGTGGTACTTTGTTATGACAACCCTAGCAAACTAATAAAAATATAAATAGTATGCTACATTTTCCTGCAAGAAAGAATGGAAGAAATTATACATCTATCTGCTTGTTTCTATGAAGAGAAACACAGGGAAGATAACCAGAAACTAATGAGATTGGTTACCTGGAGGGAGTGGGTGGGAATGAAAGGCGAGAGGTGATCGGGGAGGGGGTGTTTCTGTATGTAAGCAAACATTTTTGTGTCCCTTAGATGTTTAGAACCATATTAATGATTTACATGCTCAAAAATACAAATACATCAACAAGGATGGGGGTGGGACTCTAAAACTGAAGACAAACAGAAACCTATCTCAAATGTGTAACTACACCAAAAGAGAAAGGAATTAACTCAGGTAACCTCAGAGTCATCTAAAGATAAAAGAAGCTGCAAGAAGATCTTGAGTTTTGCTTATTAGTAGGTTTATGGTTGCAGTGGTGTAGTTAAAAACTGCAACCACTTGTCAAGTATTCTAGAACTGAACAAATGAGTAAATACACTAAACCTGTTGGGAGTTGGGTTTCTGTCAGCGAAAGAAGATACAACTGTGCAAGAGGAGAAGGCTGGGAAGAGCCAATGGTCCTAGATTGGAACTGGAAGACTGGAATGTTAACTACTAAAGTCATCATTATAAATATGTGTGGGTGCGTATATAAACATATATGAGCACATATATATATGTGCACATATATAATATAATATAATATAATATAATATAATATAATATAATATATAATATAATATAATATAATATATAATAAATTATATTCTACAGAGAAAAAATACAGACCTATCTCTCTTAGCTCTCTTCCAAAAGGGCCAAGGAACAATGACACCCCAGTAGCCATGAGTACACCAGGAGCCCAGATCTTGTTTCTAAATACCTTTTCCTCATTAGAAGGAACCAGGGCTCCATGAAGAAAGGGCCAATTCCAGGGTAGGGCTGGGAAGTACAAGACATAATGTGCATTCAGCAACTTAGGGGCCTCAGACAAAGGTTCAATTTTCACCCCAGCTGCTTCTGCCTTCAGGTCTGCGATCCAGTCCTCTGTGCTGAGAGACACTACTGAGAATTTCCTTTTGCCATACAGAACTCAAGGGCAATACCTCTGCTTTACTACTTTATCTTTCTGCTTCCTCTCCTGGATTTTCTTCCCAGGCTGCTTTCTAGTTTCCTCTGTGTGCATTACCTATGATATCTCAGGTAAAAGAGAAGAAGCTATAAATCTGCACTGCTCTTTCTAAATCTTACAGATCAGATTCCCAGAACTGAAGCTTTATCTCACATGACTTTCTCTATGAGACTGTCAGCACTTCTCTCCCTATCATTCTCTGAAGATGTGTTCTCTGTAAAGCTCCATCATTTTGATGCACATTATTACTCCTATTACTTTTCAACAATGTCAAGGTCATTAAACACAAAGACAAGCTAAGGAATTGTTTCAGATTTAAAACCAAAACTGAACCAACCATGAAAACTGAATGCTCTGCCTGGTTCTGGGCTAGATCCTAGACCCCTGATGAAATCTGAAGAAGGTCTATAAATTATACTTTTGTGTCCATCAGTGTGAACGTCCTGATTTTGATCACCGTACCTTAGTGAACTAAAGGACTCTTCTTCTTCTGAAGACAAGACATATACACCAATGTTTCAAGAGGGAGGAACAGAAGGAAACAATGCCTTCAACTTGCTCTTGAATGATTTGGAAAAACGCTAAGAGCTGGTGAGTTTGGCTGAAAGATACATAGGATTTCTTTGTGCCAGTCTTCTGAAATTCTATCAAAACAAAAAGCTACAAAAGAACAACATGACAAAATCAAAGGCATTCTTTAAATAAGGGTTGATACAGATACATCTGAATATTATTCAGACTTTAAAAAGGAGGAAATTCTTACACACACTACAGTATGGATGGGCCTTGAGAACATTTTGCTAAGTGAAATAAAGCAGTCACAGAAGAACAAATGCTTGATTCCACTTGTAAGGCATACTTAGAGCCAAATTCCTGGAGACACAAAGTAGAATGGTGGTTGCTGGGGGTCTGGGAGAGTGGTTAATGTGGACAGAGTTTAGTTTTACAAGATGAAAAGTTAACAACACGTTAACATACTTAACACCACTACAGTACCTTAAGATGATCAATTTTACATTAGATTTTTTTACCATGATAAAAAAAATCCAGCATAAAAAAATGACTAATTAGGCAGAGATCAAATAATAAATGAAGAAAACTAACGACAAAAAAAGGGGAGGCAGAATGAAAGCATTTATATAAATGTATGTCTTATTTGGAAAGAGGAGAGACATATGACTTTAATGTTCAAATACACACACAAAATTTAAGGGTCTCAAGGACCCACACTGTGGTCCCTAAGTACCATTTCCCAATAAAAGCAATGAGGGCTTGGAGAAATGTTGATTTCATGTCTAGGGGAGGCAAAGTACAAGATGAGCCCAGAACATCTTATCATACCAGAAAGCAAGGAAACTATCAAACACTAACAGGCTGGTCAAAAAGACCTAGAAGCCAATGCAAAGAGGCTCTCACTGGCATATAAGCACCAGTAAAAATAAATAATCACTGCAACAGATTAAAACATACCAATCATGTTTTTAAAAACCCACTTGTTTATTATTTATAATGGGATAAAAGAAGACAACCTATGGGTCACTTTTGAATTAAATACGTGCTGTGCACATATTTTTACTTTTCCCCAAACCCACTAAACAAGATTAAAGCATTTTTTTGAGGTCTAAAACCACAAAGACAAAAACAGAAAGAGGAGACAAGAGCAATGAAGTCTGGGCACTGGAGACATATGGATGAGTTAGGATTTCCTAATCTAGCAAGCCCTGAAGAGCCGAATCCTAAGCCAAAATGGGACAAGCTGAGAAGCAATCACACTTATGCTGTCAAACTCCCAACTAAAATGCTCTTGAATAAGCAGCACTGGTTACCTTTGGAAGGGAGGATGAAAATGGATCTAAAAATAGGAAAACTGTTTGAAACTCTGTTTAAGAAGCAGCTGGATCCCTAATTTCTCTCCCCAGCACTGCAGAGCTGATGAATGTCCCTGCCCCCTGGCAGAAGATTGGAACTTGATTCTGCAAAGAGGGTAAAAGAAAGGCCCTCTGACACTGGGTGCACCTGTGGCAGAGGCTCATGCTCAGAGAGAGAATAAGTGAATGTATCCATGCACACGTGTTCTAACACCAGGGCGCCCAGCCATCTCCCCACCCTGGCTCCCACAACACTGGCAACCAGCCCTTTATGCTCTCAGGAGGACAGACGTTCCTTTTTCAAAGAATCTAGTCACCCAAGAGGAAGGATCTAAAAGTGCTGACATTAAAAATTGTCAAATGGCCCAGCCAGTCCACCCTCCTGAGAAGCCACAAGTAATAAACTCCACTACAAGCTGAAAGCTTCAACCAGCTTTTTGATGGCCCTCCTTAAATAGCTCACAATGAACCCACCAGACATCTGAGGAGCAAATGCGTGTGAGAAAAGCAAGACCTAAACTAACAAATAAGGAAAGTGACTTTTAAAAGACTGTTTCAATAACCCCCAGGAGATAAGACATTGCACATGTGAATGAAACCAATCCTCGAAATTAAACACAGAGCAGGGCAAGGACAAAAGGGCCCTTAGGAATTTAAGCATATGAAGACGCTCCTCTTTTAGACAGGGGTGGGTGCTGGTTCAGTCCCTGGGTTAGACTAAGCCCTCCCCATCCCCGGGTGCTCCCTCTGCCTGCACTCTGCCGGCCCGCCCGTCCCCACCCTGCCCTGTGGTCCCCGCCTAGCTCTGCACTCACACAGTCTATATTCTCCGTCATGTTCAGAATGATGTAGTTCTTCCCAGCCAGGTTGCTCCAGTCTTTGCAGATCACCTGCACAGTAAAACAAAAAGAAGGGTGACAATTACAAAGGCATAAGGAAAGGCATCCAGAGAAAGTACGGATGGAAACCCTTTGAGCAGCTGGATGGTGAAGGCCAGGTGCAGGTTAGTGACAGCTAGGTGAGAGTTGACAGCCTCTGCAAGGTGGCATGCCCAGGCTCCAGCCCCAGATGTCTCCAGGGACTGCACAGAGGATATCTTCAAGGACAGGCAGGAGAGGCCTGACAGGGCTTGCCCCAGCTATTGGCCTTCAGTGGCAACCCTGCAGGGGTTTCTTGTTCTGTAGGCTGAACGAAAACAGAACTGCAGGCCAGATACACAGGCTGGCAATTTGGGACTCCCTTCCCTCTGTCCTTTCCCACGTGTGAGCACTGGCCTGGGCATATGCTGGGCAGGGGTGAGCAGGAGAGTAGGTGGCGACTGCACTAGGGGAACAGGTATGGAGATGGGGGCGGGGGCACAGGTCAGGCAGTTGGAAGGCCACAGGTGGCAGCAGCAGCACTGAATGAGGCCATGCAGGCCAGGGGAACAGAGCTCTAACAAGAGCCCATGCAGGGCTATGAGGTGTGCGCCGCAAAAGTTCTGCTGGGGCTCTACATGCTATACTGGGGACACCCATCTCAGCCTGGCAGCCCCTCCCATCCCCACTGTGCAGCCAGGGGACCACCAGGGTCCTTAGAGAGAGAGACAGTCACATGGTCTTCATGTGCCCTCACTTTACCTGAGTAGAATCCCAGGGTATTCTGGACTGGGCTTCCGCAGCCTGTACTTCCTGGGGCTGATGGCTATGGTCTTCTCGTCCCAAGGTACCAGAGGAAGGTGTCAGTTCCACGTCTCGGGGGGCCAGGGGGATAGAGGCTGAGGCTCCAGGGTAAAGGGGGTCTTCATCTGGTGTCTCAGCCCCGCTGGGAGCTTCTGTCTGAGGGAATGATGCGAAGGACGGCACTTCCCCTTGCTTGCCAGCCAACCCCACTGCTCCCACAGTGGCCTCCTCACTTGCCTCCTGAGGAGCCTCAAAGTCTACCCCATGTCCTGCCACTGGCAGCACTGTGCCCCCTGCCTCCTGGCTGGCAAAGTCCTGACCCCCCGGGGTCACTGTACTTGGGGTGACTGCGGGTGGTGACAAGCTGGGCTCCATGCTGCTCCCCACCTCCACATCCAAAGAGGCCTGGTCCCCAGATTCTTCATGCCTGTATTTGGCAGCCCCTGACATCTCACTGCTGCTGGTGGGAGAAAAGCTGTGGACCTGAATTTGGGCTGCTTCTTGGGATCCATTCACAGGCAGCAGCTCCTCTTCATCCTCTTCTTCTTCCTTCTCTACCTCTCCCTTCTCCCTTTCCTCCTCCTCCTCCTCCTCCTCCTCCTCTTCCTCTTCCTCCTCTTCCTCCTCTCCAGGAGCCATATGCCAGGGTGGCTCCACCAGGTTCATCTTGGGCAAAGGGGAGGGCAGACTTGGCACCTCTTGACCCTGGCTGGTATCTTCTATTGGACCCGCCTTCTCAGTCAAGTCTGGAAAGACGTAGTCTAAGAACAGAGACAGAAACCTCATTCACTAGTTTCATCGTCCATCATTGATTTGTTCAGTATTTGCTGAGCAGATGATATAAAGGAACCGTGAAACCCACAGGGAGATGGTGGGGAGTCAGACTACCAAGCCTACTCGAAAGGAATGAGAAATAAGGCTGGGTGGTGGGAGTCTGGGAGGCAGACTGTGGGGGGAGATGAGGGCCAGGCTAGTCCTTATTTCCCTCATGATGATTATGACACAAATCTGCCACTAAAATTCTATGAACACAAGAATGTATAAAAGTAGAAAGAAAGTTTGTATGATTGTACCCATCAGAGACAGCCCTTGTTAACAGTCCATGACAAGAAGTTAACATCTCTATAGTTCTTATAATGCATTTATGTTTCCTCCTCTGGGGATTTCTCCAAGAAGATCCCAGACAACCCATTAGAAAAGGTTCCTTTTATCTCTTTTCCAATGGGTTGTAATGGGAGGCCTCTTGGTAAAACCATCAAATGAGGTCTGAGAACCCTCTGATCACAGGAACAGAAGAGACACAGAGATCATGACCTTTAGCCCCTGGATGGGAAATAAAAAAGATGTCAGGAGAGCTCAAGAGAGACTACTGGCTGAGTCCAGAACTGACACGGTCACTGTTGGTAGTGACAGGAGGAATTTTACCCTCCCTGCCATTCCTAGGAACCATATCTTGAAGTGTGGAACTTAGGAGGCCTCCTGGACAGCAGGACTTGTTCTGGCTTTTCACTGAAGCCTAGGCCTCTTCAGAGTAATGACATAGCAAAGTCATGGGCCAGTTCTCTTAGAGATTGATTCAAAACACCAGAAGCTATTTCTAGCAAGAAATCTTATTGGTTGCCATCTTGTTGCAAAACAAATATCAAAGACTGTTTTAAAGCACTCTTCAGACATGAGAGAGGTGGTTCAAGGTGGTGAACTGGGCCTCCTCCTCCAAAATTTCCATCAAATGGTAGAATGGCTTTTCAACTGTCAAAGTTTTATAGGTTTAGATATATTTTGGGAATGTAGAAAGCAGATGACATCACAGGAACAAATAATCCCTCAGCCAAGACAAACACCAGGAGAGACAGTGGAAAAGGGGCTCCCTTTCTAACAGAATCAAGGAGAGAGAATAACTACGGGAGCAAAAGGACACAAAACATAGAAAATTCAGAAAATGGAAGACAGGGGCACCTGGGTGGCTCAGTGGTTGAGCATCTGGCTTTGGCTCAGATCATGATCATGGGTTCCTGGGATCAAGTCTCACATCAGGCTCCCTGTAGGGAGCTTGGTTCTCTCTCTGCCTGTATCTCTGCCCCTCTCTCTGTGTCTCTCATGAATAAATAAATAAAATTTAAAAATAAAAAAAGAAAAGAAAATGGAAGATAATCTTTAAATTCCAGTTAGTATCTCAGAGAGACCCAAAGATACTGCATCCCTAAAATAAAAACAGGCTAATAAGAGAATCAAATAATCTCTAAAAAAAGAAAAAGTCTGTAGAAACTGAAATGAAATTGTCAAAATATAAAAATTCAATAGAACATCTGGAAGAAAAAAGTCAAGGAAAAATCTTTAGAGCAAAAGTAAAAGGACAAGAGAGAAAAGTTAAAAGAAACAGATGACCAGTGCAAGAGGTCTAATAAATAATATGATTTATAAAAAGATAAGAACCCTTAAAATGGAAAGGATAAAGAGCCAAAGAAGAAAATTTCCCATACCTGGCAGCAGGAATCTTCACATTGAAAGGGCATATACTTGAGGTGAATGATAAAAGGCTTACATCTAGCTTCATTCTCATGACATTTCAGAATTCGTTTTTATTATTATTATTTTAGATTATTTATTTATTCATGAGACACGCAGAGAGAGAGAGAGAGAGAGAGAGAGAGAGAGAGAGAGAGAAGAGAGAGGCAGAGACACAGGCAGAGGGAGAAGCAGGCTCCATGTAGGAAACCTGATGCAGGACTCAATCCCGGGACCCCAGAATCACACCCTGGGCCAAAGGCAGGTGCTAAACCGCTGAGCCACCCAGGAATCCCCACATTTCAGAATTCTAAGGAGCAAGAGGAGATCCTAAAAGCTCTCAGAAAAAGAACAGGTTAACCTATAAAGTTACAATAAAGAGATTATCAAATTATCACCAAGTTTCTAATTCATAACACTAGACTGCAGAAAGGAAACTGAAAATGCATTCAAAATTCTAAGGGAAGTATATTTTGAACCTGGTATTTCATACCCAACTAAACTATCATTCAAGTATGATTAAAAACAGACGTTTTCATATATGCAAAGAAAGGTCTTTCAATCCACTGATTCTGAGAAAGGTATTTAAGGAAGTTCCCCCAAGAAATCCAAAAAAGACACGGGAATCAAGAAACCTGAGAGGAAGTCATGAAAATAAATCTCTTGAGGGAAGCTGTGCAGTGGGTCTATGAAATAAGCATTCAAATGGATCCATACAACTCTGAGAATTATTACCAAAGGAAAAATTGACTTCTTATGAGAAAAAGTATAATTTTTAGAAGCTGATTGATCTTAGTGATAATTGAAAGCACACTATACTATTTAGACAAATAATTAGAATACTCTACCCACTGTACTTTTGTTAAGCATAGTCTTTTTGAGTAGAAGAAACTGGTAACTTAACATCTTCCACTCCTCATCCCCTGTACATACTCCACAGGGAAGCTTACCTATTCACCACACAAAGCAGACAGTCATGGTGTTTAGGAGAGAGGTGTGCTCATGAAGCAGAGACCACAGAATACACCAGCCTCTAATACTGAGCAATCTAGTATCATCTTTATAAAAATGAAAGAATGATCAGGACTCACAGGACATTAGAGGAAAGCCAGGCTCATAGAGAAACATGAAAGGGCAAGAGCAAAGCAACTCACCTCTGATAGAAGTTAATCTGGTAAACAAGGAGAACTTAGAAAAATCTGTTCTGAACACCTCCAGAGAGACTCGAGGAAATTACACCCATAAAACAAGTATATAAAATAATAAAAATATTTTACTTCAATATATATATAAAAATAAATGCAATGTATAAAAACATAATTGAAATGGACACTTGGCAGGAAGATGGTATAACAGCATGTCACACAGGCAGCCCAGGTGGCTCAGCAGTTTAGCGCTGCCTTCAGCCCAGGGTGTGATCCTGGAGACCCAGGATTGAGTCCCACATCAGGCTCCCTGCATGGAGCTGCTTTTCCCTCTCCGTGTTTCTGCCTCTCTCTCTCTCTCTCTCTCTCTCTCTCTCTCTGTGTGTGTGTGTGTGTGTCCCTCATGAATAAGTAAATAAAATCTTTAAAAAAAATAGCATGCCACATGGATGCCAGGGCAATGAACATATACAATCCCTCAGAATCATGAGATTTTATGGTTAGAAGATTGCCCTAATGGCAATGTGCAAGAATTTGATGAGAGAGGGGATGAATGAAAGCAGAGAAAAGAGCTAGGGGCTTGCTGCAATGTTCCAGGAGAGATGAACACAGGTGATGACATTGGGAATGACGAGAGAACAGGTTCAAGAAATGACCCCAAGGGATCCCTGGGTGGCGCAGCGGTTTGGCGCCTGTCTTTGGCCAGGGCGCGATCCTGGAGATCCGGGATCGAGTCCCACGTCGGGCTCCCGGTGCATGGAGCCTGCTTCTCCCTCTGCCTGTGTCTCTGCCTCTCTCTCTCTCTCTCTCTCTATCATAAATAAATAAAAATTTATAAAAAAAAAAAAAGAAATGACCCCAAGGTAGACTTGATAACCTGTGTGCTGGCTGACTGACAGGCAGAAGAGGGCATTCTGGCTGGCTGTGCGGTAGCTATACCTTTAGCAGAAATGGTCAAGTCTAGAGGCAAAGTGCACTGGAAACCCTCAAGAAGTACTTGAATTAGGGAACCCTGGGTGGCGCAGCGGTTTGGTGCCTGCCTTTGGCCCAGGGCGCGATCCTGGGGACCCGGGATCGAATCCCATGTCGGGCTCCCAGTGCATGGAGCCTGCTTCTCCCTCTGCCTATGTCTCTGCCTCTCTCTCTCACTGTGTGCCTATCATAAATAAAAAAAAAAAAAAAAGAAGTACTTGAATTAGTCAATACATTCAGTACAGCCTGGAATGTGACAGGAATGTGGTGGATGGTGGTGCACTTCAACAGAATCCCACTGAGGTAGGGGAGTTCCTAAGAGGGCAAGCTAACTAAATAATCCCTCTACTCAAAAATAATAAAATAAAATAATAAAATAAAATAAAATAAAATAAAATAAAATATAAAATAAAATAAAATAAAATAATCCCTCTACTCAATTAGATGCTGACTTTCCAAAAGTTGATCCCTCTATCCCTCCAGAGACAGCCTGGCTTCCCACAGAATACTCTCAACTAAGCTGGACAATAAAGGGGTCATGCTGTGGGTGATGGGCTCTGTAGCCAGAAGACTTAGCCACCAATTTACTAGTCTAAGTGATGGTCAGTCCCTGGATTTCTCTGGGCTTGTTTTCCAAATGACAAATGGATGCCTGTATGTATGAGTTCTAAGGCTCTAAGCACTCATACTCTGTGCTTTGGAGATAGTTTCAACAAACGTGCCTTACACATGAGTGGCGTTAAAAACAACTGTCCTAAATGAGAATAATACAGGATTTCCAGGACTACTGACTCTGATTGCCAACCAAGGTGATATTCTTCATTCCTATGTTCCTGGCAGCTAAGACAGTATCTGCCTGGCCCAGGGCAGAAAAGAGTGGCAAGTTTGAGTAGTTTGCCATAATTGTAACCATGTTCATTTCCTAAAATATATTTTTTAAATTTATTTATGAGAGACACAAAGAGAGAGAGAGAGACAGAGAGACAGAGACACAGGCAGAAGGAGAAGCAGGCTCCATGCAGGGAGCCTGATGTGGGACCCAATCCCAGGTCTCCAGGATCAGGCCCTGGGCTGAAGACGGCACTAAACCGCTGAGCCACCTGGGCTGCCTGTTCGTTAATTTCCTGATGGTCATTGTA